GTTCTCGTAATTTAACCCTTTGAGCCCTGGTATCATTCTGGTGAATCTGCGTTGCTCCCCCTCCAGAGCCAATATATCCTTCCTGAGGTGTGGTGCCCAAAACTGAACGCGGCTTCCAGATGGAGTCTGATCAAGGATCTATATAGTTGAAGCATCATTTTCTCTCCTTTATATCCCAGCCCCCTTGAGATATAGGCCAGCATCCCATTAGCCTTTTTGATAATGTTTTGTACCTGTGAGCTTGTTTTTAGTGATTTGTGTGCATGGAGACCTAAATCCCTTTGCTCTTCCACAGTTCTTAGTTTCTCACCATTTAGAAAATATTCTGTTTTCCTATGTTTTTCTGTTTTTTGGATTCATAGTGGATGACCTCACACTTCCCCACATTGAATCACCTGAAACCGAGTTCCTACCCACTCCTGTGGCACTATGATAGGGGGCTCTGTGTCAGGGTATCATACATTATAGGTATGAGGCCCCTTTGACTTTCCATTGATTACATTGAGCTGCTCTGAGCCAAAGGCAGCATTCCACTCATCACACTCACACTTTGACTCCCGCTGTGTACAATTCCAGGCCGGTCAGTCACTTCCCATTTACATCCACGGAATTCCTGATCCATGGATAAACTATTTGACAATTTACAAATTCCCTGACAATTTACTATGTCTGGCCTCTGATCTGCAACAGTGGGAGCTGGCATCACTGCGGTGATGTGATTTAAAGGGGCCGCGATTTGTCAAGTCAATATCACATCTCACTTGGCGTCCCATTGGCAGGGGAACAACTGTGTTCTCTCTCTCTCTCCCCCCATTTCGATGTAGCCACATCACTCACATACCTCGCCGGGCAGAGAGAGAGAGAGAGAGAACACGAAGAGGCGAAGACGGAGATGGTTCGGGGAAGCAACATTTTAGATTTCAGATGTGGACCCATAACCTATTCTTACACCCATGCCCCCTGGGGTCTTGTTACCGCACTGGGAAGAGATTGAGCTTCAAATGCCCTAAGGAGGCCTGAAATTCCACCTAGTCACCCACAAAGTGTACAGTTAATCCACTTTTCAGTATATTCTGCAAAGCGGTTTGAGACGTCTCGATGATGTGATAAGGTGCTGTATCAAATATATTACCAAATAATAATTTGGTCACTCAATGCATGACTGTTTGTGGGACACTGCTGTATGCAATTGGCTACCGCATTTTGCCCACAAAATATACAGTCAATTCACAATATAATACAGTTATATTCTGTGAAGCACTTACAATCACTATGCTCAACAGCAGCTCCCTGTGAAACACACAGCCACGTCCCAGCCTGACGAAAAGCCATAAAAATGTAAGATTTTTTTCTTTCATTGCAGTGTTTAGTTCCCGTTAATCATGCACACATGCATGTCTACGCGCACACAAACACACACACACAGTCTCTTAGGCAATATCATCAGGCAATGATTCATTTCCTCTGTGGAAAGCTTAGAATCATAGAATGTCACAGCACAGAAGGAGGCCATTCAGCTCATCGTGCCGGCTTCTGCCGGCTCTTCAAAAGAGCTACCAACTAGTCCCACTCCCTTGCTCTTACCCCGTTGCCCTGCACATTTTTCCTTTGCAAGTACCAATCCAATTGAAAGCTATTATCAAATCTGCTTCCACCACCCAGTCCATTCCAGACCATAACAATTCTTAAGCTTTACTGAGGTCCCATCTGTGTGTTCAGGTGGACATTAAAGATCCCATGGCACTATTGAAGAAGAGAAGGGAGTTTCTCTCTCCCTGTGTCCTTGGCAACAATCCCTCAAATAAAATTAGCCAATTCGCGCCTGGCTGTTTGTGTGGACGCTGCTGTGTGCAATTGGCTGCCGCGTTTCGCCCGCAAAATATACAGTCAATTCACTTTACAGTATACACTGTGAAGCGCGTTGAGACAACAACAACAACAACAAGATTCCATTTATAAAGCGCCTTTCACGTCAGGAGGACGTCCCAAGGCGCTGCACAGTTGGGTCATGACCCGAGCAGGGGGGAAATGGTCAGGGTGAGGGAAGGGAGGGAGCAAGGAGGGGGGAAATGGTCAGGGTGAGGGGAGGGAAGGGAGGGAGCGAGGAGGGGGAAGAGAGTCGAGAGGGTCGAGAGTCGAGACGTCTCGAAGACGGGATAAGGCGCTGGGTCAAAAGCAAGGATTTTTATTATTATTATTATTTACGGTATAAAATGAAGTTGCTGCATTTGCACAGTGAGAGAGAACGAGAGAGTGAGAGAGAAGTGTTTTGTCCTTGGGTGACTGCTGTGGGCAGGTTTGTTGTGGGCCCCACCATTGGATATGTGGACGGTGAATCGAGAATGGAAAGTGCCAGGTTACTGCTGTAAGTGAGTTGTTAACATATTCCTTACTCGCCCTGAGGCTGCTGGCGGTATGTGTTGGCAGTATATGTGTGTGTGCATGTATGTATGTAAGTGTGTGTGTGTGTATGTATATGTATGTAAGTGTGAGTGTATACATGTATGTAAGTGTGTGTATGTATGTGTATGTATGTATATGTATGTAAGTGTGTGTGCGTGTGTGTATATGTATATAAGTGTGTGTGTATGTTTGTGTGTGTGTATGTGTGTTTGTTTGTGTGTATGTGTGTGTGTATATGTTTGTGTGTGTGTATGTTTGTGTGTGTATGTTTGTGTGTGTGTATGTGTGTGTATATGTGCATGTGTGTATGTTTGTGTGTGTGTGTGTATGTGTGTTTGTATGTTTGTGTGTATGTATGTGTGTGTGTATATGTGTGTGTGTATGTGTGTATGTGTTTGTGTGTGTGTATGTGTTTGTGTGTGTGTATGTGTTTGTGTGTGTGTGTTTGTGTGTTTGTGTGTGTGTGTGTGTATGTGTTTGTGTGTGTGTATGTATGTGTGTATGTATGTGTGTATGTATGTATGTGTTTGTGTGTATGTGTGTGAGGTTGGGGGGAGGAAGGAAACACACGGTGAGCTGTGAGTGGGAGGCAGTGTGTTGCCTGTTTAAGCCGCTGTCACTCTGAGGGGTGGTGTGTGGGCGGAGAGAGCTCAACCCTCAGCCGCTTATTAAGCAAAACTGCGGAGAGAGTTGCAACACAGAGACATTTAAACCAAATAGAGAGAGAGACACAGAGACACCGACACCAGAGACGCGCAGTCAAACAGAGACACAGACAGAGGGACTGGATTCAGTCTGGGAGAGAGGAGAATGACTGCCGTGTGAATAATAATAATAATAATAATAATCCTTCTCACCAGTGGGTAAGTAAGTGACTGTGTAACGCTGCCCATTTGGCTGCGCTGCGCTGTTGTCTCACCTCTTTGTTCCGCAGCTCCGACTGCAGTTTGTGGGCACTGTGGGGGTTCTCTCTCCCTCTCTCTCTTTCTCTCCTCTTCCTCTCTTTCTCCTTCTATCTCTCTCTCTCCCCCCTCTCTGTTTTCTGGTTTGAGTGTGTACCTGTACTTCGCCGCGAACCCCACCGTGTTCTGTTGGCAGCGCAGTGGAGCGTTTAATTGCGGTTCCCAAACTTTCTCAAACTTTTTGTTTCCCCCCAATTTAAACCAAAACTTTTTTTTAAAACCAAACGACAACTCCCCCCTCACCCCACACCCCCACACCCCCTCCCAAGTAATCAGCAAATGATTTTTCAACCCCCCCAAAAAAAAACACCATTGCTTTAGCACCAGATTCAGGTTTAATGCTCAAGATGTTTTCGCCCACAAAATCGACAGTCAATTCACTTTACAGTATATCGTGTGAAGCGCTTTGAGACGTCTCGGAGACGCGATAAGGCGCTGCATCAAATGCCAGGATGTTTGCTGCATTTATTCTGCTTTCTCATTAATTACCGGGTGAAGCTGTTTGTTTAGTGCGGGTATTACTGACTGACTGGCTTTAGGCAGAGAGTGGCTGAGATTTACTGAAACCTGCGCACAGCTGTGTGCAGTGACTGTGCACACGTATACACAGCTATGTGCTGGGGTAGTGCACACATGTACACAGCTGTGTATGAATACTTGTGTACAGCTCTTGACACAACTGTGTGTATCCACGTACACACCCACTGCACACAGCTGCCGTCAGGCAGAGTGGCTGAGATTTGTTGAGGCTGTGCACGTGTATACATGTCTGTTTGCAGGAGCCGCGTATGTATACACACAGAGGTGTACAGGGACTGTGCATGTGCATACACGTAGCTGTGTACAACGACCAGGCACACGTGTGCACATAGCTGCGTGCAGGAGACATGGAACAACAACAAATTACATTAGTATAATGCCTTTCACGTCAGGAGGACATCCCGAGGTACTGAACACACACACTGCAGTGGCTGGGTACGTATACACACACCCACACTGTGTGCAGTGGCAGGGCACGTATACACACACCCACACTGTGTGCAGTGGCAGGGCACGTATACACACACGGTGCAGGAGCCAAAGCTGCTGTTACTCACTGTCAGCCGTGCGGAGACCTGTTCCCCTCCCCCGTCCCAGCACATTCCAGCCCGTGTGTGATTCACAACTGCTCTTCTCGGTTACTCACTGGTTACCGGAAGCTGCCGATGTTCCTCAACAGCTGAGATGTTGCTGTGAGTGAGGCCTACCCCCACCCATTCCCATCCATCTCCCCCCACAGCTTCTCCTCTGCCCCCCCACCCAACTATATACTGCCCCATAGTGGCTCAATCCAGCTCCTTATATTATTATTGTATTCGATAGTAATTTTTGGGTTTGGTACAGGACCTTTCACAATTTGCTGTAAAATATAGTGAACGGTGTGTTTTGTAGACAAATGAGGCTTCATTGCTTGGGGTGGGGATGGCTCAGTTGCCGGAGGGGTTACGGTTGCTGGGGTGTGGGAGGTGGGGCTCGGTTGCCGGTGTGGGAGGGAGAGGATGACGCATGATTAATGGTCTCTCTCTCTCTCTCTCTCCCTGTGATACAGTAATGGTGGGAACGTGCTGAGCCACGAGGTTCCCATCGTCTCCCAGAGAAGCGTCATGTCGACAGCGCAGGAGATCCATTTCCCGCTCAGTAACTGCTTCATACACGAGGTCATCGGCAGCAAGCCGTACTGGAATCCCCCCAGCCCCATGGAAACGTGAGTAACAACTTGTATTCAAATAGCGCCCCTCACGCGGGGTAGAGTCCCAGAGCGCCTCACAGTGGCGGAGTCTGACAACTAGATGGGGGAGGTGACCGTGAACACGATCAAAATGAATTGAGCAGGATTTGAAGGTGGGGGAAGGATTAAGAGGGAGAGTTCCAGAGTTTCGGGGCGTAGTGGCTGAAGGGGGAGTAACTCTCCAATTTCACCCCCGCCCCCCCCCCCCCCACCTCCTGGCACAGCTCCTCTTCCCCGCGACGAGGGCACCGCTTTGCACCCCCGGGGACAACATTTCTGGTCTCCCATTGTCAGCAATTTGGCTCCAGAGAAGAGACTGTGGCCCAAAGTAAAGGTCTTTAGATCATCTTTAATGGTGGGAAGGGAGGGGGCAAGGCGGAGCGACTCTGGGTGGGTGTTAGAACTTTGCCGATGTGGCGCTGACCATTTGGCCTCTGATTTGCAGCATATATTTTGGAGACAGTTCCTCAGTGACGTGTGGCCTGGGAGCCGAGCCCCATCATCAGCCGTACATCGCACCTCTGGCACAGCACGGTGAGTAGTGTGCGAGCACGAGGGTGCGCGGGGCAACTAAACGCAAGCGTGTATGTGCTTGGACCAGTGTGCGGGTATGTGTGTTTGTGTGTGTGTGCGTGCGTGCGTGCTGTGCTAGGGCGAGTATGCAGGTGCGTCGGCGACGTGGGCAAGTGTGCGACGTGGGCAAGTGTGCGACGTGGGCAAGTGTGAGCGTGAGATTCAGCTTCTGATTCTGGTTTCTGTAATTCTCTTCCCAGGACAGGAAGCTGAGGACTGGGACCTAAGCGAGAGTTGCTGCCTGAGAACGTCAGTGATAAAGCCGCCGTCGCGGCTGATAATGCCTTCATCACCGATCTTGGGCTCAACACCGGTCTTGCCCCCGCTCCGCGCGCTGTCCCTGACTGGCTGCCCCCTGTCTCCCCCCCTCACCCCGGTCGAGCGGGGCTCCCGGCCACTGCCCCCCCTACCCTGGCCCGGCTACGAGTCCTCTGACGAGGTGGACAGTGAGGTGGAATCAATCACCAGCTCCGAGACCCAGAACCTGTTGGAGTTCCGACCCGTATCTGCCGGCCAGAGGAGCCTCCGAGGCGCCGGCAAAACCAACCACGCCTACTCTGAGTGTGGTGTGGGGGTCCGGGGGCAGTACAGCCCCCCTATTCCGGAGCAGGGCGAGACGGAGCACAGAGCCGGGGGCGAGCGGCAGAGACGGAACCGGCGGCTACAGCGATCGCATTCGGGTCCGGCTGGAGCCTTCCACAAGCCGGTGCCGGTGAATGTGTCCGGGCGACGCTGTTCGCCAGGCAGGGGCGAGGGGAAGCCGGAGGTGCCTCCCCGTGTACCAATCCCCCCGCGGCTGGTCAAATCGGACCACCGGCGTTGGTCGGCCGAGGTGACCGGCTCCTACAGTGAGGAGGAGCGGCCCCCCAAGGTTCCGCCGCGGGAGCCAGTGCCAAGTGCCAACTCCCGGACCCCCAGCCCCAAGACCCTTCCTGCCTACCTGAATGGGGTCATGCCCCCCACTCGCAGCTTCGCCCCCGACCCCAAGTACGTCAGCAGGAAAGTGCTGCAGCGACAGAACAGCGATGGGCACCCGGTGGTCCCCCACGTGCCCTGTATCCTCCCCATCATCGAGGCGGGACGGCGAGTCAGCAACACACACTACTACCTGCTGCCCGAGCAGCCGTCCTACCTGCACCGCTTCCACAGGTTCTTCGTCGCCGACGACCCTATTGCAGACGGAGCCTTCGCTGCCGCACTCGAGCTGGACAGCTGTGCCGCGGAGAGCAGCAAGGCAGCGCCGAGTGGCGGGACTGAGGCCACCGGACTTTGCTCCCTCGCCCGCGCCGCCTTTCCCTAGCCCCACCACCATAGGCAGCAGAAGGCGGTTTCTCTGGCGAGATCGGTTTTCTCCAGAGTCCGGCGGATCGGTCAGCGTCACCGGCTGTTCCAATGATTGCACTTTACCGGGAGGCGGAGTGAAGACAGAGACGATGGACCATTTGGAAGGGGGATGGAGAGGCCCCTAGGACATGTTGTGGCTCCTCCAGCGACCCCCATCCTTTCTCCAGTGGTGTGTGTCATGGGGATCACTTGCAGCTCGGATGGGGGTCGACGTCAACATAACATCACTCAGATGACATTTTATGACAAACGTTGATTCCTTCGATGTTGGACTTGAGCCTCTTGTTGGGAGGAAGCAATTTGTTTTGTTATTTTTATTATTAGAATTATTATTATTATCAGACTTTGTATAAACCAGTGAGTTTGTGTGTATTTAGTTCGGACCAGCTCAGGGAAGCTCAATGAAGGCCAGCTCTTGCTATTTGGTCCACAAAATATACAGTCACTACACTTTACGGTATATTATGTGAAGCGCTTTGAGATGTCAAATGCAAGGATTATTATTATTATTATTGTTATTTCTGTTTGTCCCTGTTCGGAGGAGTAATTTGTAAACCAGTGAACGTCAGTGAGGTGGGGATGGTGGGGGGGGGGCAGTGTAATTCACTGCCTCTTTCTGTCCCCCTGTAACTGTCACACTTGCGTGTCCCAGGAGGGGGAGAAATCAGCCAGAATTCCTGCTTCAGTTCTTCTCCCCACCCCCACCCCCGAAGGTGAGGGAGGTTGGAGCTTGTGACGAGGGTTGTGGTCAGTCACAGGCCCCCTATTCCACACCCAGTGTGTGCAATGTTACTGGAAAATCTGTAATTATATTATTTAAACTTCACCTGGAGCTGTGTGAGCTTTACTTTTGTGTGTTTGTGTGTGTATGTTAGTGTATGTGGGGGGCTATGGCTGTATGTGTTTGTGGGGATGGGGAGTATTTTTTCCCTCACTGTTTCAATGACACTTTATTCCCATCTGTCAGCCGGGTGCAGCAGTAGCACTCTCGCCTCTGAAGGTTGTGGGTTCAAGATAAGAGGGAGGGTGCATTGGAGAGGGGTGCGGTGGGAGTTGAGCAAGGGGAGGGGGAGTTGAGCAAGGGGAGGGGGAGTTGAGCAAGGGGAGGGGGAGTTGAGCAAGGGGAGGGGGAGTTGAGCAAGGGAAGGGAATGCTGAGGGCTGAGGCAAGTAGGCTCAAGGAATGAGCTGAATATTGATCAAAGGGGCCAGGAAGTCTAGAAACTCACCGACATTGAGTGTGTGCCGCAACTGAAGAATATAATACAGGAAAAAGAGTGACCGAGGGCGGTGGGGGGAAGGACAGCTGCTTTGGCTGTCAGCGTTTCTCAGAAATAAAACCAAGGTGCAAACCCGACAGCAGTAAATACTCCACAATCGATGAGGAAACTGGGACAAACATTCGCTCACTTATCTGTTGTGCTCTGTGTACACAGGACCTTTGACTTGTATGAAGTAATGCTTCTTTATTGCCAATTGGAGTGTGATGACTCCCCAGAACGCCTCTTGCACAGGGCACCCGGGTGATAAACTGCTGATAACCCAGCCTCCCACTCGGAGTCAGGCTGGGCAGGGATGGGCTCTGCGGCACACAGGAGGGTGATGCCTTCAATGCCTGCTCTGGCTGAGTTGTTGAGCAAATGCCCTCGTGTCCTGCCACCTCCTGACCTCTCGGAGACACTTCCTCCCCACTGAACACCCGTTGCCTCCGCTCGGCTGGATCCAGCCTCCTGCATGTCTGTTGTTGCCGCCACTCCACAATCGGCGGCCGTGCTTTCAGCCACGATGACCCCAAACCATAGAACTCTCGGCCTTAATCCCCTTCCCCATCTTCAGATCACGCCTGAAGACCTTCCTCTTCGACTGTGCTTGTGATCACCTTTCTCTTCTCAGTGGCTCGGCATCAAGCGCCACCACTGTTAAACTCTGCAAGACCTGCGTGGAGACACTGTATAAATCTAAGCTGTTGTTGTTGTATTGACCTCAGCCAGGACAGCAGTGGGACAATGATGGACCTTAGAGCCCCTGGGTTGAGGGGAGAGGAGGGAAGGGGGTAAAACCTGGCTTCTCAGACCCCAAATTGTTAACATCAGTGTTTATCTGGAAGAGAACCTCCTCTCCGGTGGGCGATGCCTGTGCTGGTGCTGTAAGGCCATCTAGTGGCTGAGGCGGAGGGTGTGGGTGGCGTCAGTGACAATAAGTCAGCAAAATTTCACAAAGATTTTGAAGGAATGGATGAGAGGCTCAGTTGTTGGTTTATTTATTGTCTTGTTGACCTGGCCACATGGCACAGCTACACACATAAAACAAGGCAGATCGTTACAGAGCACTGGGTGGGATTTTGGGGAGGGGGGAAGAGGATCTCAGTGACCCTCGTTGGGTGTGGGGGGGGGGGTCTCACTGACCCTCGCTTTGTTTCTTGGTGTAGTCCTGAAGGCAGGACTGGAAGTGGGCAGCAGTGTTGAGCTGGGGCTGGAACAGGATAATGTAGCATTTGGGCAGGAAGTAGCCCAAGGCCACGCTAGCGGCACTGTTAATGGTGAGGAAGGTGCGTATAGACGAGGTGTAGACCTGCTGTGTGGGGGTGACCAAGGAAGCCATGTATAGGATGTAATAGACGAAGCACAAAGTCATGCTGAAGGCAATGAATTTGGCCTCATTGTAGTTCTCAGGCAGGTCCCGGCCGATGTAGGCCAACAGGAAGCAGGCTCCAGTCAGGAGGACAATGTAGAGGAAGCTGAGAGCCAGGCCGGCCACATTGCCCGTGCTGCAGTCCAGCGCGATTATGCTGCCTGTGAGCAGTGTCCTGGGGCTGGGGGGCTCGGCGACCAGCCAGGCCACACACATGGTGAGCTGCAGGGCAGTGCTGAGCACCACGAACAGGCCGGGACCGCTGTAGCGCAGCCAAAACTTGTAGGCCCGAGGCAAGCTGGACGCCATTTTGAATATGGAAACTATTTGGAAGGAGCGGACGAGGATGCAGGACAGGCAGAGGGAGAAGCTGATGGCAAAAATGGGGTGTTGGACGCGGCACAGTGTGGTGCTGGGCTTGCCGATAAACAGGTAGACGCAGGAGAAGCCGCAGAGCATGGAGGCCAGCATAGCGAAGCACATCCTGCCTCCGGCTGACTTGACCACGGGGCTGTCCAGTTGCCAGGCGAAGACCACGCTGATGGTCACAGTGAGCGCCAGGCCGCTGTTTGCTGCCAGCAGCAGGAGGACAGTTAGTGGGTTTTGCCAGGATAGGTACTGGACAGCTCGATCCAGGCACCGCTCGCTCTGCGCCGGAGACCACTGCCACCACGGGCAGGCCGCACACTCATAGGGATCTGTAATGGTAACGGCAGCGTCAGCCAGGGGGCGCATTCTACCTCAATTCTAGCTCTGCACCTCCAACTGGTGCAACCATCAATGTGTAGTGAGCTGTGGACAGGGAGATAGTGGCAATGCTCTCACACATTACATGCTGAGCTACACTGCCCACAGGGTACCTGCCATCCAACTAGTGAGGCTCAAATCAGGTGCAGTTAACCAACTAGTGATTCCTCCTTGGGGGAAGGGGGGGTGGGGAATAAGCAGGGTCTCCTCGGAGCTGAGCTGTCTGCACGGTGATGCGCATACAACACAATATCAGCATCAGGTCCATCATCTGTGTAGGTCCTTATCCGGTTCCTGAGCCAGGCAGGTCCACAGTATTCTAGGACACTGCTGATAGTAGCTCAGCCTGGCTCATTGAATCCTCCCACTCAACTCCTGTTAACCCTGCAAGCCAAAGCCCTGGCAGGTAGGGTAGTCCTCGCTAGACAAGCAGCTGTCAGCTTGCCAGACAGTGCTCTTCATGGGCAAGCTATGTATTTTTTCCTGATTAAACTCCATTAGTGACTCTTAACTCACACTCTGGGATCCCAAGCCTTGGCTCTTGCCAACCTGCACTTAATACTCTCTCGGAGTAGGTGAGCAGACTGCGTCCTCCTCAGAGAGATTCCGTCTAGTCCGTGGTCTGGTTCAGATACTCAAACAGGCTAATGGGTTTCCACTGAGTCACACACCCGCCGACAAAAAAACATGGTCACAGGATAAAGCTCAATAGGATACAGAACACTGACCGCTCTGGTTCCGGAATGTTCCTGCTGGACAATCTTCACAGTCAAAGCAGCAGCTGTGAAATCCGCGAGGAATCCTCCTCTGCCCCGGCCCACACGACTCTGAGCAATGAGACACGGGCACCTGGCGAGATGGGCAGCAGTCAGTTCATGGCCCCAATCCTGAAGTTCCGAGCACCCAAACCCCCATTCCCCCTGAAATGCCCCTCCGTTTCACCCACCGGAGCCTGTTGTCAGCGAGAGCTGCAATGGGCAGTTAAGCACAACCGCTCAGCGGGCTCTGGCTTGCTCCATGTCCCGCACCTGGCCCGCGCCACCATCGGTGGTCAGGCCTGCAGCCTCTCTGCCCCCACCTTTTGGAACTCCGTTCCACAGTCCCTTCACCTCGCTCCTTCCCTTGCCTCCTTCAAGGCATGTCTCAAGACGCTCCTCTTCGACCGTGCCTTCAGTCTCCCTCCTACACCCCTACACCTTTCCTCCTCCTCCCCCCTGATCCCAACCCCCAGCTCAGGTCCAAATCCCTGGCTGTCCAGTGCCTTGAGATGTGTAAGTGTAGTTTGTTGTTGTTTAGGAATGGCCTCTGGCCTGAAGTCGGGCCAGCAGGACTCACGTAGGTGGAGTTGTGAGGCCAGTGGATCAAGGATCGGTCGATGTCCAGCTGATGGGTCAGCGGCAGGTAGGAGCCTATGGTCTGGAAGTGGATGCCATGGCCCTGGCTCTGCCACGTCACAATGTCAAAGCCACTCGGCCCGTCGCCCGTCTCGTCAAAGTAAAACGTCTCATTGGACAGCAGGAATCTGACCTTCTTCAAACTGCTGAGCAACTAGAACACAGGAGCAGATACAACTTCAGAGAGACGGGATGGGAGACAAGATGAGGGCTCCTGGGGGAGACAAATGTGGGCGGTGGGATGCGGGGGTGGGGGGAGATGGAGCGAGGGCGAGCATGAGGGGAGGTGTGAGCACGTACCTGCCAGGGGTAGACGGCGCGTGGATGGTAGCACCGGTCCTGCTCGCACTGGAGCAGCTGATGTAAAGCGTGAGCCATGGCGTATACAGCCACGTACACGTTGTACGAGACACGCGTGTCCACATGGTATTCTGGTGACTCGGCGCTCCGTCCAGCCGGAGCCAGGAGCCGCCGGCATTCCTGATCACAGCTTCCCCTGGGCTCGGAGGCAGCGCCTTTGGCCAGGAATTCCCGGAAACCCTCCATGTGGCCCTCCTTGATGGCGATGCCGAGGACGGTGCCGACGGCCGCCACGCCCGGGATACGGGCGATGTCCTCGGACAGAGCTACCGTCTCGCTGATGATCCACACCTTCCCTGTCACGTTGAGCTCAGTGAGGACCCGGAACAGCCGCTCGGTAGCCAGCCGACTAGAGAAGAGCACGGTGACATTGACGCTGGCGGAGATCTCATTGAGCATGTGCACCAGCTCAGGGCGGGAAGAGGGGATGATAGCCTGATACGCCACACACGTGCCTGCGCCCGTCACCAGCTCCACCACCTTGTTGATCCCTTGCCGGCCGTACTCATTGTCGCTCCCCACAGCCGCAATCCAATTCCAGCCAAATTCCTGGATCAGGAGCGCCATGGCTTCCGCCTGCTTGATGTCGTTCGGGATGGTTCGGAAAAACGAGGGGAAGCGGATCCTGTTTCCCAGCACCTCTCCGGAGGCTGCGTAGCTGATCTGTGGGGAGGAGGAGGCGGCAGGAGAATCCCACTCAGTGTTGTCGTTATGGCAAAGCTCCCGGAATCCCGAACTTTAGGCTGGCCTTGGCTTTGGTTCCCCCCTCCCCCACACACATCACTTCCCCACCCGCCCACATATACACACACAAGTTGACCACTTCAAACAAGATACTAGAAGCCGCCCAGGGAAACATCCCCCATAAGACTGGAGCAGAAATGTGCAAAATTCTTAAATTCAGCCTTAATTTGGCAGCCAGTTTATTTTAATAACTGTGGAAAACTCTTTCGGAGAGCAGTCGTGACAGAGTGTGTGAGGGAGGAGGGGAGTGTGTGAGGGAGGAGGGGAGAGTGTGATGGAGGGTGTGAAGGGTGAGGGAATGTACCAGAGGAACAAGGAAGTAGCCAAGGAAGCGTGCGATGGTGACGGTGATGGTGGTAGAGGCGGGGCCGATGATGGCGATCACATTGGGCTGGTAGCTGGTGTAGTTAGAAGAGATGGGCACTCCAGGCTGGTAATCAGTGTTGGTAGCTGGGGTCGGGATGCCGGGAGATGGCAGGTGGCGGGCGGACAGGAAGTGGAGTGTGGTCTGCACGTCCACGGACTGGAAGCAGGTGTCAGCAATGTTGTAGCCCAGCCGCACCCCCGGCAGAAGCCGGCGGTCACTGTTGATCTCCTCCACAGCGAAGCGCATGGCCTGACTATTCACATACATGTTCATGTAAAACGGGAACCTGAGAAACACATTTAACAACAACAACAACTTGCTTTGACACTGTTGACCAATCTATCCTCCTCCACCACCTCTCCTCTATAATAATAATAATCCTTGCATTTGATACAGCGCCTTATCACGTCTTCGAGAAGGTCTCAAAGCGCTTCACAGAATACACTGTAAAGTGAATTGACTGTATATTTTGTGGGCAAAAAATATCCTCTCATCTCAACTTTCGTGGTCCTGTCCTTGACTGGTTCAGATCCCACTTCTCACACTCTCTCCACTTTGTCTTCACAAACAGCCTCGTGCGGTGTCCCTCAAGACTCTATCCTTGGTAATCATTGACCCCCGCCTCCCCCCCGGGCTGGCCGCTCACTGCCCCACTCCTCCCCCCACCCCGTGGCTGCTCACTGACCCCGGCACCTGGGGAGTGGATGGTGACATGAGGTTGTGGTGAGGAGCCGGATTCGGCCAATGCAAACATTAGGAAAATCTGCTCCAGGAATGCAAATACTAGGCCTGTGGCCGGGAGGGAGTCATCTCTGGTCATGCAAACCCTGGCTGCCAACCGCGGCAGGAAGCCTCAACCAGTAACCCTTCACCTGCCGAATAAACACAGGCTTCACCGCTGGTCACAACTTTCAGACAGTCCAGGATTAGCAATATCCTGCCCTCACGCCCCGCTGCCCCCTTGATACACAGAGCAGCACAACCTCAGCTCACCCATTGCCTGGCTCAGCTGGGTCTGTGGTAACTGCCGTTAGTTAATAATAGTAATTCTTGCATTTGATATAGCACCTTATCACATCATTGAGACGTCTCAAAGCACTTCACAGAATACACTTTAAAGTGCAGTGACCGTGTATTTTGTGAGCGCAACGCGGCAGACAATTGCACACAGCAGTGTCCCACAGAGTCGTGGATTGAGCGACCAAATTATTTGATGGACACCTTGCGCTGATCAGGTAAATGTTATTGATCGGTACAGTGTTTAAAAAAAGGCATAAAGTGTGTTACTGACCTCTGACAGTCTGGAGTGATGGGCTCGGATTGGTTCACACCGTTAGGCTGGGCATAATGGATCGGGAACAAGCCACCGATCACGTAATCTCCCGGCAAGCTGAACGCTGCTGCAATGTTGCTGGTGTTTGCGGCTTGTGCCACAAGGCACAGCACAACGGCCAGCAGGAGCCACATGACCTCGGAGGCTTGAAGGCAACGCTCACGGTGACAGGGGAGAGCAGACTGACTTGTGCCGCGCACCGACTCGCAGTAGGTTTAAGAAAAGGAGGTGGTGGGATGGCTGATGCTGCTGGATGGGACTTTGCATTAATTTGTATTAAAGAGTTTGTTTAATACTCTTGTACTGTTTGTTTAATGAGACACGGAGGTGCCGCAGCTGTAACACGGCAGTGAAACAGATCTGAACAGCCGTATGTACCCGCTCGGCTCAAGCGGTCACGCTCTCACCTCACGGCTAAATGGTCATGGGTTTAATCCACCCAAATCACAATTTTACACTCTCAGTCTGGTGTGACCCCTCGAGCAGTAGGGTGGGGGGGAGTGGGGAAGTGCTGCATTGTCACAGGTGCTGTGTTTGCATAAACAGGTGAATGTTGAAGATCCCATGGCACACCCCATGGTTGGGCCTTCAGCCTCTATCTCTGAGTCCCTTTGCCTCATTTCCTCCCTCACCTCCTTCAAATCCTGTCTCAAGATCTACCAGCACAGTCATCCTCCCATCCCCTTTGCTCTCCTTGCTTGGGTACAAACCCTTTACTATCCAGTGCCTTGGGACGTCCTCCTGACGTGAAAAGCGCTGTGTAAGTGTAAGTTGTTGTTCAGAGAGTTTTCTGGCCAACGAGCCCCTAGATAAAATTGGTCATTCACTTCTTGGCTTTGTGCAGAATGGCTGCACGTACACAATACAGTTTTCAGTAAATCCTGTGAAGCACTTTGAGGAATCCTGGAGTCCTGTAGCTCAGTGGTTAGACCTGGGTTTGATTCCTGGCAGGGTGAAACATTGGGCAAGTTTCCTTACTCCACACACCTGTATTTACCCAGCAGTAAGTTGGAACCCGGTTGTTAAGTCGATCGGCGGATTGCTTTTCCAGGTGTAATAATTTCTTCAAAAAAAAATTGGTCACTTAATCCATGACTGTTTGTGGGACACTGCTGTGCGCAATTGGCTGCCATGTTTTGCCCTCAAAATGTACAGTCACTTCACTTTACAGTATATTCTGTGAATAGCTTTGAGATGTTTCGAAGTTGCGATAAGGCGTTATATCAAATGCAAAAATCATTATTATCCTTCCCGACATGAAAGGTGACAGAGGCTGGGTTGGATTTGGGGGTTTCAGAAATCGCTGGTCGCCAGGACTGGAAAGAGGCAGAGAGCGAGGGAAGGCCTACACACCACCGAGAGACTCTGGCCACAGCAGCTGGTGGAGGAGCCTGATTTGTATAGTGTCGGGGGCAGAGACCAGAAATACCCAGTGGGCAGGTGGGCACTTCCCCTTGACTTTGAATAATGAGTATCTCCACATGTGCCCTTTCCCCCTGTGGCCAGGGCTAGAGATAATAAAAGGAAGAGGGAGGGAGGGGAGGGAGGGGTCACTAGTCTGTATTAATGTGTGGAAAGGACACTGCCTGCTGCTGAAAGCCACCTCTCTGTCTCCCTTTGCGCCAACAGCTTGTGCTCATGTCTCCCCTCAGGTTGCTAACTCTTCTGGGCTTAATACCATGTGGATGTTCACACCCCAAGACCCAAGGACTCGGCGTCACGATGGCACATTTCAGCTTGCCCGGCCACTATACTCTCGGGGGTTTCTTCCCCATTTACTCTGTGGCCGTCAACCTCGCTAACCGCACCAGGCCGGAGCCGGTGTCCTGTGAGATGTAAGACTCGTCTTGTTAGCTTGCAAGCCAATAATGCTATTTTGTGACCGATGCATACTTTGCCTGGGATTAGGTGCTGAATCCAGGTTGGTGAGAGGTAAAGGTGAGTGTGGAGTCCTGTCAGCCAGGTGAGAGGCGGAGGTGAGTGGATCTGTGGCTGATGTGTGGAGAGTGAAGGACTGGTTCAATGGGCGATTTGGTTTACAATACAATACAAAATTACATTTGTATAGCGCCTTTCACAGCGGGAGGACATCCCAAGGCGCTGGACAGTCAGGGATTTGGAACAGAGCTGGGGCACAGGATCAGGAAGGGTAGAGGGCAGGGAGGGTTGGAGGGTGGTCGAAAGCTCCAAGCCTGAATGGGAGGTTGACAGTTTCTCTGCTCCTCTGGGTGCAGGTTTTCTCTGGATGGCTACGAGTGGGCATTGGCCATGACATTTGCGATCGACGAGATAAATAACGCTAGCTCGCTACTCCCGGGCGTCACCCTGGGCTATGAGATCTACAACTCCTGCCATGACTTCCTGGTTGCAGTCCAGCCAACCATGAGGTTTATGTCCGGCGCAGACAACAGCATCGCAGTACTCCAGGACTATACCAGGTACCAGAGCACCGCCATTGCCATCATCGGCCCGGCTACCTCTGATCTGGCCATAATCCTGGGCACCGTGTTTGGCCTGATGCTGATCCCTCAGGTAACTTTTGCTGATCTCACATACATATTTACCTCTTTGCAGTCTCAATATACACATTTCCCCTGAAAAGGGCAGGGTGCCTGCATAAATATATTCATTGCGTTTTACACAGCATCTGTCAATGCTGGACGCCTCAATGGGGCTTCACAGGGAATTGCTGTCAAGTGTAGCTACACCAGCCAAAATGGTGCACAGCAATCTCTTACAAACAGCTGTGAGGTGAATGAATAATTTATCTGGGGATTGTTTGCCAGAAGACAGAAGATTCCTTCCCTTTTCCATTCGAGTTGTGGGATATTTAACGTCCACCTGAACAGGCAGACGGGGGTGGGGAGACGGACTGGGAGCTCAGAGGCCCTGGCGTTGGTATAGGAGTGACTGATCTAGAATGAATAGAGAAAGAGGAGTGATTTATAGCGTGGAGTGACTGCGCTCTGAGACTCTGCTCTGTTCACAGATTAGCTACGGGGCGTCAAGCGAGACGCTGAGTAACAAGGACCTCTTCCCCTCATTCCTCCGCACAATCCCAAGCGACAAGAATCAGGCGGAAGGGATGGTGGCTTTGGTGAAGACCTTTGGCTGGAACTGGATTGCGGTGGTGGGCAGTGACGACGAGTACGGGCGGCAGGGGATTGAGCTGTTCTCAGTCAGAGCCGCTGTGGAGGGCATCTGCATTGCTCATATCCACCTAGTCCCCAGCTATAACAGTGTGTCCAGCGTCGAGCTAAAAATGGCCACCATCATCGGCCACATCCAGCAGAGTCAAGTCAATGTCATCGTTCTCTTCTCTAATGAGAAGGTGGCTCTGACTCTGCTCAGGTACGCTCTGAAGCACAATATCACCGATAAGGTCTGGATAGGAAGCGAGGCTTGGGTCACCTCCAATGTGATGGTCCACACCCCGGGGTTGGGCAACGTCGGGACCGTGATCGGCTTTGTCATCCAAAGCAGTACAATGCCCGGCTTCCAGCAATACATCTCTAACCTCCTGACGGCCATGGACAGACAGCAGAGCTCTGTGCACACCCACTCCCCCACCATATCCCTCTGTTTCTCCTGTCTCAACGTTTCTGCCGAGAGCCTGATCAAGAGGCTGGACTACCTTGAGAAGCGGCAGTCATTTAACGTGTACACGGCGGTATACAGTGTCGCTCACGCGCTGCACCAGCTGCTGGGCTGCGACTCAGGGGGCTGCAGGGACTCTCCCCGCCCTTACCCCTGGCAGGTACAGCAATCCTGGTTTAGGATTGGGGGGAAAGACTGGGGGAATGGTGGGGTGGGGGATGGGGAGGGGAGAGGGTTTCCTGATGACTTAAAATAATAATGAGATTCGGTAGAGTAACTACAGAGAAACTATTTCTCTGGTGAGGAATCCTGAACAAGGGGTCATAAATATTAGAATTAAAATTAGAACTAAGCCCTTCAGGAGTGAAATGAGGAGGCAATTTTTCACACACACACAAGGGGTAGTGGAAATCTGGAATTCTCTCCCCCAAAAAGGCTGTGGATACTGGATCCATTCAAGTTTTCAAGACTGAGGTGGATAGATATTTGTTAGGTCAGGGTATCAAGGGATATGGGGCAAGGGCAGGTAACTGGACTTCAGGTACAGATTAGCCATGATTTTATAGAATGACCGAACAGACTCGAGGGGCTGAATGGCCTCCTCTTGTTCCTATGTTCCCATAACTCTTGTCCTCACCGATTACAGTTGCTGGATGAAGTGCGCAGAGTTGCCTTTGAGGTAGGGAACAGAAGTATTCAATTCGACAACAACGGAAATCCCAAAACCAGCTACGAAATTATCCTTTGGAAAGTGAGCGTTGAAAAGCTATTGTTATCGGTGATCGGAAGCTACAGCGGATCCCTGGACATCAGCCCCTCACACATAGATTGGCACACCGAGACCGAGGAGGTGAGCACACAAAACCCCAGCCTTGTAATAATTCCTTCAAAAAAAAAAATTGGTCGTTTCAATCCAGGACTGTTTGTGGGACACTGCTGTGCACAATTAGCTGCCGTATTTCGCCCACAATATATAGTCAATTCACTTTACAGTATATTCTGTGAAGCGCTTTGAGTTACCTCAAAGACATGATAAGGTGCTATATCAAATGCAAGGATTATTATTATTAGTTAGACTGAAGCCCAGGAGGTGAAAATCACACACAATCACATCTTTACAGTGTACAGTGGGAGCCAGCCACACAGTTATTTAGCCCATTGCACCTGCATTACACCTACCATGTCCCTGCTCTTTCTCCATGTCTCTTGACATCCAATAGAAAGAATTATTAGCGTTACTTACCAAGTACATTCTTCTACGCCTCGACTGACCAAGTATATGGCTTTCTGGGACTGTGTTCTATGTTCTTGTGACTCATTCTCTAAAGGAAGTGTTTCTGATTTCCCTTTGAATGATTTACTCTCATTTTAAGGTTCTGTCCTCGTGTCCTGGATTTCAACGAAGGGTCCTTCTGTATCTACTCTCTCAAAGCCCTGCGTTATTTTGAATATCTTGGTCAGATCACTTCTTTGCCTCCTGAACCCCAGAATCGTGTTAGCTTTGACTGATACACTGCTAAGTTGTGCTCTTCTGCAGTGCTGTTTGCTACCCACTGTCAGAGAGAGAGAGAGAGACTGCCCTGGTTACACTCTCTCAGTTAGACCAGGACAGATCAATATTAACGCTGATGTTTTCCCAGGTGCCGGAATCCTATTGCTCGAAGGATTGTGTCCGAGGTCAGATGAAGAAGGCAAAAGGTCTGCACTCGTGCTGCAGTGAATGTATTGACTGTCCGGAGGATACCTTCCAAAACGCCTCAGGTTGGTTTTCAATGTTCCCCTCCTTCCATAACGCTGTGTCCTTCTCACTTTCATGCTCTGCCAGGCTCAGCCTCCCTCTAACAATACAGCGCTCACAATACTGTACTGGAATATCACCCTGAGCTCAAAATTCCAACGTGTGGAGCTTGAACCCACAACCTCTGAGCAGAGGCAATAAAGTGCAAATGACTGAGCCAGGCTGTGACTTTTAATATGATACTGTCACAAACTGGGATTTCTCTGTTTCTCTTGTAGACGTCAGTCAGTGTATTAACTGTCACTACGAGGAGTGGTCCCCGGCTCGGAGCTCTGCGTGCTTCCCGAGGAGCCCTCAGTACCTGGCGTGGAGCTCACCCATGGTGGTGCTGCTGCTGCTGTTAGTGTCTCTCAGCCTGGCTCTGACAGGGCTCATGACTTACCTTTTTGTGTGCCACTCCGGCACGCCCATGGTCAAGGCCAGTGGGGGCAGGAGGACCTTCGGCACACTCACCTCTCTGGCAATGGCGAGCTGCAGCTCCTTCCTGTACCTCGGGGAACCCACCGAACACACCTGCAAAATACAACAGCCGGTGACCAGCATGTGTCTCAGTTTCTGTATGTCCACCCTCCTCGGGGAGTCTCTGCAGATTCTCCTCACACTCGAGCTGGGCAGCCTGACCAAGGGATGTCTGGGTGTCCTGAAGCACAGAGGCAACCAGCTGGTGGTGCTGCTCAGCCTGGTTATCCAAGTTTCTCTGTGCTACTGGTGGCTGACCACACCAGGCCCGTTCCTCATTAAGCTGCGGGAGAGCAACAAGCTGCTGCTCTTCTGTAAGAACCACGAGGAAACCAGCTTCTGGCTGATGCTGGCGCACAGTGGCTTCCAGTCTCTGAGCTGCTTCATGTGCACCTTCCTCATCCAGAACCCAGCCAATACCTACAAGTTGGCTCGAGACATCAGCCTGGCCATGCTACTGTACTTCTTGGCTTGGGTGGCCTTCATTCCAACCTATTCGGCTGTGAGCAGCATATATGCTCCGGTGGTGGAGGTTTTCACTGTCCTCGGCAGCACCTTTGGGATCCTTGGAGCATATTTCGTCCCCAAATGTTGGATCATTCACTTTAAGCCACATTGTAACACAGAGGCTTACTTTCAGGTTTATAAGCAGGAGCCTCCAACGTCAATGAGCAATGAAAAGGAAAAGGGGGTTGATTCTCTTTAAAACTTAATAAACAAGTGAATGTCAGAACGAACGTGAGTTTTCCCACTGTTTCCTAATCCCACGGTCTCTCTGAGAGGGTGTCACCTGGTCAAACCCACCTCCATTATAGCTATCTTTCAGCCAATGGAAAGATGTAGAAGTAAACGATGGGAGATGGACAAAGGACGAGAAAGGAATCAAAAACAACAAATTACATTTGTACAGCGCCTTTCATGTCAAGAAGATGTCCCAAGGCCCTAGACAGTCTGTGATTTGAACCCAAGCAGGAGATTGGGATCAGGAGGGATGGAACTCAGGTGGGCAAGGGTAGGAGGGTGGCAAAAGATGCGGATGAAGAGGAGGGTCTTGAGACATGCCTTGAACAAGGCAACAGAGAGGGCAAGGAGAAGAGACTCTTGAGTAAAATCATGTTTCAACTCCACCTTTCCTCTATTCCCAATCCTCAATTGATGCCCTCTTGTTACTGGCTTGATTATCGCAACAAATAATCTTCTCTGTAAATAAACTAACTGAAACAGTCAGAAATCAGGCTTTCACCACTGGCTTCAGGCTGGTCAACAGGAGCAAAACAAATAAAATCAGTTAACATCTATTGCGAAGAAGCTGGGTAAATACTCTGCTAACCTTGGGCACCAATCATACTTGATATATAATGCTCTGTTCAGCCCACATCTAAAGTATCGCATACAGTTCATTGCAGCGACATAAATGAGCTACACAGAACCTCCACATTCAGGTTCGAGACAGTACAGAAAAGAGCAACTGGGATGATCCACAGTGGTAGGAGAATAAGTTCTGAGCAACGGTAAGACGAGCTCAGGCTTTTCAGTCTTGAGAGAAGATGTCTCTGAGGAGGGAAGAACCTCACAGAGGCAAATAACAGTTTAAATGGGATTGAATAACTAATTGCAGAACAATACTCTAGGATGCACTGAGACAGTAGAACAAGAGAACACAAGGTTAAAGTTCCAAAGGACACCAGGAATATTTTCTTTATCAACGACTAGAAGAGGTTGTCAGGAAGGATGGTTGAGGCCAGGACACTGACATTAATTACTCCAGTTCTCTTGTATTGTTGGACTCAGTAATTGCTAGGCTAGGCCCAATGTCACTGACTGTGTTGCTACTGATGTTATTGTTGTATTGATGAGTCCTGTAATTTAATGGTTAGAGCACTCGCCTCACAAGCGAGAGGACCCAGGTTAGATTCCCGGGCATGACTAAATTTTCGGTAAGTTTCCTTACTCCACACGCCTCTGTCTACCTAGCAATAAGTAGAAACCCGATCATTAATCGATTGGCGGATCGCTTTCTGGGGGTAATAATCCCTTCAAAAATAAATAATAAATAAATAATAATAATTTGATCATTCAATCCATGACTGTTTGTGGGTCACTGCTGTGCGCTATTGCCTGCTGCATTTCTGCCACAAAATATAGTCAATTTGCTTTAGCATATAATATTACAGTATATAATTATTAGATTATTATTATTACAACTCCCTTGCACTGTGGGGCTCAGTAACTCTTCCTGGCCAGTGCCCTGGTTCACTGACAACATCCCTGCTGATGTTACTGCATTCTTCCCAGCTTCAGGTTGGAATGAAAGTCTGATGTGAACCCCGTAGCTACATAATCTTCCTCTTTCATAAATGCTGTGAGGCGGGGAGTAAATGATGGCGTGGCGCTGAATCAAGGGGGCACAGCATTGACAGGCTGCCATTTCATACCAACCAGCTGCATAAACAAAGCAGATGAGTTTCATGCAAATGCCCACTGGAGCTGAGGGCTTTGGTGCAAGTGGACCAGAGATTGTAGTGCAGAGCTGGCGAACAGCGGAGTCTCGAGTGACATAAGGAGCAGCAGGTGCCGCACATGTCGCCTCTTCGTTACTGGATGCTTGCGAGTTTGGTGCTGGTCGGACACAATGGGGCTGAGCCCCAGGGTTCGGACCGTCGTGTGGGAGAGTATCTAGCTCCAGGAGATTATATAATAGGAGGCTTGTTTCCCATTTACTCTAGTAAACTTGACCTGCAAAGCGTCAATAAATCTGAGCACATATCATGTGAAAGGTAAGAGTCTCACAGCGCTGATACTTTCTGCCCTTTCTTCCTCTGCTTCAACAGAAACAAATGTAATTTCCACTTTGTACTTTTCTTCCCATCCTGTGTCTCTCAGTGAGCTGACAGAGTAGCGTGTTGGAGCAAGGATTAATGGATTATGATGTTGTGGTTGATTCCTTGTTGCAGGGCATGCAGTCACGGAGGGAGTGCTGAGTGAATATCAGATATTTCCAGTGTAGGTGAGAGGGAGTTGTTTTTGGAACGTCCTCGATATTGGGCTAAACTGGCACAGGAACAGCCTGGGGGCCACATACACCACATTGTACACACCACACCATACACCCCAATGGAACACAGAGGAAACGGCAGAATGGGCAGCTCACACTGCAGACAGGAAATTTGAAATTAAACACAATTCTGATCGAGTCATCCGATGGAATAGATTAAAAGCTACACCAACCCACACCGACAGAGTCAATATAACCAGCTCTAACACATCTTGTGTGGTTCTCTTTATTAGTCCGCCTTTGTGACTAATTCAAATGATAAACACAGCCTAATTTCATCAGCAAACTGGTCGTGGCAATACTGATGTTAACCCCTCAAACTGTGGAGCTCAGTTACTCCTTGCGACCAGGTCATTGTGCTTCTTACTGATATGACTCCAGCTCCCACCCTGAACAACCATACAGTCGATGTGGAAGAAGCAACAAACTTGTAAAGCAATAAATAGTTTGCTGATTGGTCAAAGCCTTTGTCTTCTATCTAATCAGCACTCACTTCATTCCCCTGCCTGTCTGTCTCCTCCGCAGTTTCTACCCCCAAGGCTACCACTGGCTACAGGCCATGAGGTTTGCCATCGAGGAGATAAACAACGGAACTGAGCTGCTGCCTGGCGTGCGGCTGGGATACGAGATCTACAACACCTGCTTCGAGTCCACTGTCGCCATAGAATCAGCGATTGCCTTGTTGTCCAACAGTGAACAAGACAGCATTGAGGTGACGTGTAACTACACTGAGTACAACACCCGAGTGGTGGCTGCCATTGGGCCTTCCCAATCGGAGCTGAGCATAGTAGTGGCTCGTCTCTTCAGCTTCCTTCTCCTTCCACAGGTAACAGAGGGCTTCCACACCACCCACCGCCAACACCACCACAATGCCCCACCACCAACCACACCGCCCAACCCTCATCACCCATCCCCTATCTCCCAGACAAGTAAAACCTCCTTGCCGTGCCTCCTGCTTCCCTATCTTCAGATCACTCCTGAAGACCCTTCTCTTCGACCATGACTACGGTCACATCACCCTTCTCACTGGCTTGGCGTTGTGCTCTGCCACTGTCAAGCACTCTGGGGCGCTAACCTGCGTGAGGGCTAAATGCAAGTTGTTGTTGATGTTGTTTATTCTTCTCACATCAGAGATATTAACAGTAGGTTGCCCAAGATGAGAGATTTAAAAAGCTTTAAATCTCTCATTGCGTGTTCGCTGTTCACCCCTGCTGTTGTCTAACACTTCAGACCTTACTTTCCATGTAAGGTGCTGGATAAATGCAGATTACACTGGAGGCTTCTGATAAGTTTTGTTTTGCAGGTTAGCTATGCCTCATCCAGCAACGTGTTGAGCAACCGCAGGAATTTCCCCTCATTTTTCCGGACCATTCCCACAGATGAAGTTCAGGCAGATGCCATGGCATCCATTGTGTACATGTTCCAATGGAACTGGATTGCGATCATCGGGACTGACAATGACTATGGGCGCCAGGGGATCGAGCTCTTCAGCGTCCAGGCTTCCAAGAGGAAGATCTGCGTGGCGTACGAGGACCTGATTCCATTGCACCTGACAGGTGTCCAATTTAAAGCCAAACTAGTTTCCATAGTCAACAACATCAACTACTCCAAGATCAATGTGACCATCGTCTTCTGCGACGATCGTTTCGCTTTGGCCCTGATAGACACTGTCCTGCAGCTTAACATTACCGGCAAAGTCTGGATCGCCAGTGAGGGCTGGGTGACCTCCACCTCATTCCAGACACTCACAAATGTTGCCAGCATCGGCACAATCCTGGGAGTGGCTGTCAAGACCGGCAATATGCCAGGCTTTGACCAGTATGTGCTGGCTGAGGATCCTGGCAGCTGCATTAACCCCACTCCGACAGAAATCTGCCACGATAGCAAGAAACTCCACACTGAGCTGGCGGCACAAGACTGCCTGAGCCACTTTGTCCAGACACACAACGGCGTTGTTGACACACAGCCGCAGCGCATTACCTTTAATGTGTACAGCGCAGTGTACGCAGTGGCACATGCGCTACACGCATTGCTGGAGTGTGACTCGGGAAGTTGCAAGAAGAAGTCTATTTATCCATGGCAGGTACGTGAAAGTTTTACACAATAATAATAAATAATAATTCTTGCATTTGATACAGCTCCTTATCACGTCTTCGAGGATTCTCAAAGCGCTTCACAGAATATACTGTAAAGTGTAGTGATTGTGTGTTTTGTTGGCAAAATGTTGTTGTTTGGGTAACAAGATTCAGGCTTATGCATGTGTCTGTAAATTCTACCGGTGTATGCAGTCTTGGTAAACCAGTTTCACCCCACCCCACTACCACCACCACCATTCTTAATGTAGCAGAAGCTAAAGAGATGGAAGACCATCAAGAGTGCAGAACAGAAACATCAATCATTTACCTCTAAAACACACCAAGGGCCCTGTAACATCTAATTCCCTTTAATCTGATGACACAATCTCCCTGCACCATCTTCCTGTATTCTCCATTTAATAAAATCATTCAATCGTAACTCTCTGTTCACCTCCTGGATCTTACACTCAAGTCTGTGTCCCTCGCAGATCTATGACTATGTCACATATTTTACGTTCAGTTTATCTAAAGCCGTCAGGATCCTGACTGTTCTCTCACATGCCCTTGGATGTTTAAAAGCTGTGTTCCATTTCAATCAGCTCCTGGAGACATTGGCACAAGTGAACTTTACATTGAATGGCCATGACATCTACTTCACCCCAAATGGAGATCCGCCCACAGGATATGATATTGTTAATTGGCACTGGAATGGGAAGGATCAGGAGCCTGAATTCAGAAAAATTGGGGAATACAGAGCACTGTGGAAAGAGCTGGATATTAACGTGTCCCAAATCCAGTGGAACACTCCTGGGAACCAGGTAATTGATTGTCTATCCCCCAGTGCCTTCGCCTTGCTTCCTCCCTTTCCTTCTTCAAGGCCGGTCTCAAGACTTTTCTCTTTGACCGTGCCTTCAGCTTCCCTCTCGACTCTCTACCCCCTCCCTTCCCTCCCCTCACCCTGACCATTTCCCCCCTCCTCGCTCCCTCCCTTCCCTCCCCTCACCCTGACCATTTCCCCCCTGCTCGGGTCCTGACCCAACTGTCCAGCGCCTTGGGAAGTCCTCCCGACGTGAAAGGCGCTCTGTAAATGGAATCTTGTTGTTGTTGTTGTCATATGCCATACACCAAAATAAGGTAATGGTAAATCTGGTAAATTATCTTCTACCCTAGCCCAGGGCACAGAGGCTAATGGTCCCAATAGCAGTGTCCGGCCGAGATCATTTCTCACAGACCAGGAATGTCTGGAGATTCCTTGCTCTTAGATCAATACCAATGTTTCTTCAAACTGGACAATGGCAGAGCCAATTCATTCCTGGTTAGTGAATATCGTCGCTGCCTGAGAACTCTTGATGACTCAAGCCTTCAGTCTGGCCACTGTGACACATTCCTGATCAATCTCTCCAATTCCATTTGGGTATAGGTAGAGTTTGAAGTCTGGTATCAGAGTATCATGCAGGTTTCAAACCAACGTGCCCCATAATTGAGTGGCTCAAAGCCCTGACAGACAATAAGGAAACGTTTCTTTTTGACTTTCAGATTCCAGTTTCGAACTGCTCCACCAGCTGCAAGATGGGGCAAGTGCGCATGTTGAAGGGTTACCAGTCCTGCTGCTATGAGTGTGTTGACTGTCCAAAGAATACCTTCCAGAATCAAAGTACGTTGCAGCGTCATTCCCCTCCTTAACAGCTACTGGCCATTTCCCCAGACAGTGGCACACACCAGCCTCTGCCCAGAACTGAACTCAGTGAAGATCCTCTGGCATTGCTCATTTTCTTAATGGCTCTTTGTGGTACACAGCTGGACATCAATTGACTGCCTTGCTTTCCTACAGATACACAGTTACTACACCTAACAGCGGTTACTTGACAAGTAGCACTTTGAGACGGTCGCACATAATGGAGTCCTGTAGCTTAGTGGTTAGAGCACTCGCTTTGCAAGCAAGAGACCTGAGTTCAATTCCAGGCAGGGCGAAACCTTGGGCAAGTTTCCTTACTCCACACAGAGCCTAATAATAATCCCTCCAAAACAAAACAATAATAAATTGGTCATTTTCAATCTACGACTGTTTGTGGGACATTGCTGTGCGCAATTGGCTGCCGCGTTCGCCCACAAATATACAGTCAATTCACTTTACAGTGTGTTCTGTGAAGCGCTTTGGGACGTCCTCCCGACGTGAAAAGCTCTATATCAAATGCAAGGATTATTATTATTATTATAATAGGTGCAGAATCGAATGTGAGGATTATTAGTGCTCTTTAAGATAATTTTTTTTAATGTAGAGCGATATTTCCTTCCTCTCTTTCCCCAGTGAATAAATGCATAGCGTGCCGGAGTGATCAGTGGTCAAAGGAACGGAGCGTGGAATGTCACAACAAAAGCATTGCATTCTTGGAATGGACAGACTCACCAACCATCGTCCTCAGCACCATGGCCGTGCTGGCCCTCCTCGTCATCATCTCGGCAGTCGCTATCTTCATTGTCCATTTTCACACACCCATTGTGCAGTTTGCTGGTGGCAGCCTGTGCTTTGTGATGCTGGTGTCCCTGGCAATCTCCTGCTGCAGTATCTTCTGCTTTGTGGGCTGCCCTACCCAGCTCTCATGCACCATAAGACAACCCATTTTCAACATCGGCTTCACCGGCTGCTTATCAGTCATGTTGACCAGAGCTTTCCAAGTGGGATCGTTGTGTGGGACATCCAGCATTCCACCCACATTGTGCCCCAAGCTGATCATTGCCAGCATGAAATATTTAGTGGTTGCTTTCATTATTATGTGTCAGGCGGCACTGTGCACGTGGCAGTTCAGCTTACCACCCACTGTGTTGAATAATTACAATGTCTCTGAGACTCAAATAGTTGTCGAGTGTTCTGAGAGCTCATTGTCTGGCTTTGGGCTGTTGGTGGCTTACAATGCATTGCTAGGCCTTGCATGCTTCCTGTGTACGTTCATGGGCCAGCGCTCAGGGCAGGCTTACAACCTGGCTCGCTGCATCATGCGCTCCACACTCATCTACTTTGCTGCCTGGATATTCTTCATCCCCACCTACACCAGCTTCAGTGGCAAGCTGGTGCCATGTATCCAGATGTCCACAGGTATGATCAGCATCTATGGCATTCTCGTAGCCTATTTTATCCCCAAATGTTACATTATTCTCTTCAAACCAGAATACAACACCCAGTCCAACTTCCAAAGCTCCCCTGACAACCTCTCCTCCAAAGAGAGGGAACAGTGACCTGGATACCCAGTGCTTCTTGTCAGATTGAGTAAACTGCATTGCATGTGCCCTAGAGCTCATTAAAGCTGCTCCTTAATTTACTGGGAACACGTTTTGCCTTTATTTTAGGTAAACTTTGTATTCATGTAGGTAGGGGATGTTAGCGCTGAGAAACAGACACCTTCCAATTTTACCCAAGTTAGCGACAGCAAGGGCGAGAGACAGACTGAGCACGACTATCTCAGTGCCTCTACACTTTCCACGCCAACATTAGTGATACAGCATGGGTTAGAGACAGAGAAAAGCTCCAGCTACACTGTCCATCCAGCACTCCAGTCTGAGCTCGAATTTTAAAATCAAGTCTGTAGATAAAATAGGTTCCCAGTTAGATGCTCTGTATTCTAAACTAAAATAAAACTTCCTTTGCAGTGAACAGCTCCCTGCTTTGTTTGTAGTGTGCAGAATTCTGACTTCAGCATTAATGAGTATGGCAGCAGCCAAAGACTGATTGCAGATTGATTCAGATACAGTAACACACGAACAGGAGGAGGCAGTTTTCTGTGGTTCTTAAAAAGATTTAGCTTCTATTTTCCACAATTCTGCCCGATCTTAAATTTGAAGACAAACTGGTCAGACAGGGCAATGCAATATTGGGTGCTATTTCAGGCCTCATCACTCAAGTGGCAGGGGTGTGTGAGAGCTGCAGGGATGTCAGGTTCCCGCGTGAAGATGGAACCAAGAGTCTTGGCCAAGCGCTGACACAGCACTGCGAGCACCAGCCTCTCCAACAGCTGACTCGGGTTCAGACTGGCACTTCCACTTGAAAACAACATTCATCGCTGGGCAAACACAATGGAATCGACAAAGTAGGAGAGTAAACGTAAAATGAAAATAAAACAAAATAAGGCCAAACCAAAGTAAATCATTTTAGTGTTGACACACGTCAGCTATATATTAAATCTACAGACACAGGGTAGTAACATTTCCAGCAGGCAGTTCCCAAACATTTCTCTTCAAATGCCAGTGCTGCAACCCCTCCCGCCTGAAGTAAAGGTCTCCTCATTCAGGGAACTGCATTCCACAGAATATATTTATAATAATTAAATACATTTTAATCTTTTACTGTACATTATTTATACATTGCGTGTTCCTCTCACGATTAGCAACAAACTCTTAGGCTGAGTATAAGTGCAGTGGTTAAAGCCGGCTCAGCCAGCTTGCCTCTTACCCAATGGTATCTCCACAGCATTGTTTCTGCCTTAACATTACCAGCTGCTCTACCTGGGAAAACGGGTCAGTGCTGAGGGGGGTGGGAGAGGAGGGGAGGATTGGTGGCTCAGTCCTCGGGGTCGCCTCACTGCTGAGGGTCTGTGTGTGTGTGGGGTGGGGGGGGGTCCTCTGTGCATGTGTGTGTGGGTGGGAGGGAGTCCTCACAGAGTGGGGGGACGGGGGGGTTCTCAGTGCATGGCACAGGGGCTCGGAGATTATGTGTGGGGTTATCGGCGGGGGGGGGGCTCAGAGTGTGTGTGTGCGTGGGGCTATCAGTGCGTGGGGGCTCAGAGATTGTCTGTGGGGGGGTATCAGTGCGTAGGGGGACTCAGAGTGTGTGTGTGCATATGTGGGGGCTCAGTGCGTGGGTTCAATCTATCATGTACAGGGATGAGACCTCTCATGGTAAGAGTTTCATTCGTTCCACATTCCCTGCGCTGCTCACGTGACCGGCACGTCAGGGATTGACCCCGAGTCTAACATTCGCTTTAAAATGTAAATAAATCTCCTGCAAAACCATCTGTATCAGCTGTAACATCCCGACAGCAACAGGCTGCTAACTAAATGCTCATTCACAATCCTCAGATGGGAGCCCCAAATTCCAGCTAGTTTTAGCCCATGACACCATTTTGGCTGCAAATTTTAAGGTGGTGCAGAAATGTGGAAAATTCTTAAATGAAGTTTTAATCTGAAAAGCCAGTTCATTTTTAATGCAGCAACCTTGGAAAACCGGCTTCCAAGGGACATGAAAAATGTCCACAATTCTGCCCAACGGTAAACTTGAAGGCCAAAGGCTAAGACAAGGGGAAATTTCAAGCCCCAAAGTGGCCTAATCAGCGTGCAAGACTCACACTGCTATTTAACCTCCCAGTAATACTTCAAAAATAATTCTTTTTAAAAAGTTGGGAATGTGGGAGGTGGTGGGTGTGCGGGAAATTGGATGGTGGGGGCTGCTTGTGCTTTGAGTAGCGTTTTAGTTGAACTAAATGTCAGTCACACCATTTGTGCGGGTGTGTGTTTTTTATATATAAAAGTGCTTGCTTGTAAAGGAGAATAAAAACACATCGAAAAGACAGGTGTGACGTACTGAAATACCCAAATACTGTTACCACAGAGTGAGACAGTGCTGACATCCATCAGCCATCGACAAAAACGCATCAAAAGCACTTCAACATCCCTCTACAGATCTTCAGAGAAGGTAAGGACAGAACACACTTACTGAGCACTTCTGCTCACCGTCAATTACCGAGTGCTCGCAGTCCCAGACCAGAAATAAAACTCTTGTGAGACCTTGCGACACGGAGGACAGAGCCCAGGTGTTAGCACAGGGCTATGCTGTGTCACAGGCTCTCACTGTCACATGATGTCGATGAAGAATTCACAGGGGTTGCCCATGGCCTTTTGGAAAGACTGCCGACTTCCGGTTAGCTCAGGGGGCACCGAGGCCAGGTCCCGGCCTGGGGGGGCTCCAGGTGGTGCGCTGGGTGCCAGCACCTTGGGGCCTGTCTTTGTCAGGTTGTACAGTGGGGGCACACCCGGCGCTCCGTGTGAGAGGTGGCTGTGGTGACTGCGCTCACTGGGGCTCCGGTGGCTGAGCTGGCTGGGCGGGCGCTCACAGCGCACACTGTTACGGGTGTTGTTGTCTGACTCACTGCCGCTGCCAGCTGACTTGGAGTCCGCTTTCCGCTCCTTTTCCTTCCCCGAACCGGCTCTTCTCTCGCTGTTGCTGCGATTGGATCCGCTGCTTTTACTCCCTGTGGAGAAACGCAAGACACCAATATCACAGCTTTACCTGATACAAGGTGGGACTTTGGATAATAATAATAATCCTTGCATTTGATATAGCGCCTTATCACGTCTTCGAGACGTCTCAAAGCGCTTCACAGAATATATTGTAAAGTGAACTGACTGTATATTTTGAAGGCGAAATGTGGCAGCCAATTCTGCACAACCGTGTCCCACAAACAGTCCTGGATTGAGTGACCATATTAATATTATTTTTTTGGAATGGATTATTACCCCCAGAAAAGCAATCCACCAATCGACTAATAACCGGGTTCCTACTTACTGAGGTAAACAGAGGCGTGTGGAGTAAGGAAACTTGCCCAACGTTTCTCCCTGCCCAGGAATCGAGCCCTGGTCCTCTTGCTTGCGAGGCAAGTGCTCTAACCACTAAATTACACGACTCCAATAAATACATCAGAGCGCACAAACACATCACTGCAGCTCCTCAATGATCCACTGGATAAGACAGGGAAGGTAGAGGGTCACAGCATACTGGGGGGTGGTGGGGGTTGGTAACACAGACAGGGACTTTCCTGTAGTTGCTTTGACGTTTTGAGGTTAGAGGCAGGTCAGCTTTTTGTTCTTTTACTGCGAAACAATCCATCAATGTTATAGAATAGAAAGCCAAGAGCAGGGTCCCTCTCAGGCCAGCGTAAGTTCCGTCTCCATTAGGCTTCAGGCCACAGTGTTTACTGTGAGACTTTGGATTGAAATAAACAGTTCAGTTGCGCAATAATTTATTTGCAAGTGGCACAAGAGTTGTTTGGATCTGTAGCTAATCATTAACAAGGGGGGAGATTTCACACTGAGTAGAATTTAATTTCTACTAAGTTAATTAGGGACAAAAGGCAGACCTCTAACATGGGGGGGAACATACCGGGGCAAAGGGATGCAACTGAATTGCACACAGCCCAGGACAGGCAGAGATTGTGTGTCAGGACAGGATGGGGTCAGAGTGAGGGTAGGCTGAGATCATGCTATGTGATATTAGTGCCTTACCAATCACTCAGTTAGTCATTCCACATTGCATCCTTCAGTCTACCGCTGGCTCAAGAGTAAAACAAGCCACAGTAAGTTACAGGAGAAATAAACACAGCTTCACACCAGTTCTCACCCAGGAACCGTCAGCACTCGAGCATTCCCAAAATATATACTGTGCATAACCTACACACCATCCCTCACCTCATCACCCAGTAGCTTAGCCTCAGTCTCTCTGTTTTCTAGAGGTTAATGAGCTGAGTCCCGAAACCTGTGTCAGGCTGACTGTGACTGTTTTGTGTTTAGGGCTGAGCAAGTGTTTTATACGACATGCAACAGATTCATGGTTCCCAAAACAGGGCTTGCCGTCTGCTGCCACCAGCAGATCCCTGCACAGAGCCCTGCCAGTGAGCACATAGGAATGTACAGGAACAGACAGACCATTGTGCCTATCTGGCTGGTAAAGTAAAAGTTAAAAAAGGAGATGGATAAATAGGCATTTATGTTTAACAAATAAATCTTAACTAGATGGAGAAGCAGAGACGGAAACATGGAAATGAGACAATATCCCAAGGAAAGTACTTCAAATCACTGATTACTTCCTATTCTACAAATCAATTATTTTCCCTCGTGTCTCCTACCTTCACTGGGCTGGCTCCCGGCACTCCCGTTGCCATAGTTGAAGCTGGGTTCCTGGCAGGCGGTTGGGTAGTAGGGGTGAGGCAGCGGGTACTGACAGGGGAAGCCCTGCCCCAGTGGCCAGGGAGAGGCTGGGTGTGGCAGAGGTGCCAACATATCACGATCTGAAGTCCCACTAGAAACTTCATGTAACTTCATGGCAGCCAGATCTGGAGGTGGGGGGGAGAGAGAATGGCACATTCAGACTTGCTGCTTTACTAACAGACTCACTGCCACAGATGAGCACTCCATCCCTCGATACAGCCAACGAACAGCACAATTTACACAGATGCTGTGCTGGAATAACAAGAAGAAGCATTTAAAAAGCACCCCTCATTGGGTAGCGTCCTAGAGCGCTTGACAGTGGAGCATAACGCCGAGCTGGGTGAGGGGGGTGACCGTAGGCACGGTTGAAGAGGAATATCTTCAGACGCGATCTGAAGATGGGGAAAAAGCGGCAAGCTGGACAGATGGAGGAAGAGTGTACCAGAGTTTCGGGGCTTAGTGGCTGGAAGCACGGTCATCGATGATGGAATGGAGTTAGGGCACGAAGGACGTGCAGTTAATAGTCTCAAATTACAGCCAGAAAAGTCACTCAAAAACCACAGTTAATTACCATCTCTGCTGTGAGCCCCACCACCCCACACCTCAGTGAGCTCAAAATGAACCAGCAAGTAAGTAAATGGGCCACACGTACTGGTACAGAGATCCCCGAAGATGTAATAGCACTGCTCAGAGAAGGTGATCTTGTTGACCGTGTGCCTGAGGTAGCCGTGCTTCAGCATGCTGCTCGCGTACTTCCTCGCCTCCCGACGGTCTTTGAAGCCCTGCACACGCGAGAAGAGCCAGTCAACCACGTCTGCACCTGAGGAGACAGAACACGTGTATGTATGTATGTATGTATATGCGTGTGAGACCTGTGACCCCCCATTCCTGTGTGCGACTCCACCTATGACACCCCCTCGCCCACCTAACCAGATGTGTGACAACCTATGACAAATCCGTGCCTCGTCTATGAGTTCAGGTCCTGATGTGGGAGTTGTACCAATAATCCCCTGCCTGAGCCAGGCTGCGCTCAGTTATACAGTGAGCTGTGCGTCGCTGATCGCTGGGTAACCCTGCAGATCCTCACCAATCACAGCACTGGAAATGGTAATCTTCAGCCACATCCTATCCCGTATCTCCAGCCCTGAGTCACAGGACTGCATGGCCTTGACAATGCTCGCCATGTCAGTCTTCACCGTGATCATGTTGGACAGGTCACTCTTCACCGTGAGCCGACAGTCGTCATACTCTGCAAATATAGAGGCAAAAGTGTGGCAGGACGTGTCAGAACAGGAGGCGTTGGGTAGTACAATACAGATGACAAACTGCTGCCTGGGTGGACTTATGTCCTGTAGCGTAGTGGTTAAGAGCACTCACTTTGCAAGCAAGAGGACCTAGGTTCAATTCCTGGGTGAGGCGAAATCTTAGGCAATCTGTACTCCATATGCCTGTTTACTCTAGCAGTAAGTAGTAACCCGGTTGTTAGTCAATTAGCAGATTTTTTNGGAGGTAATAATCCCTCCAAAAATAAAAATAATAATTTGGTCACTCAATCCACGACGGTTTGGGGGTCGCTGCTATGTGCAATTCGCTGCTGCGTTGCGCCAACAAAATATACAGTCAATCTACTTTACAGTATTTTCTGTGAAGCGCTTTAAGACATGTCAATAACATGATAAGGCGCTTTATCAAATGCAAGGATTATCATTATTATAAACCAACTGACATTGAAGATTGTCAGAGAATGGGATAGCATTTCTTGGTGAAAATGTGGACTCAGATTAAAGTAGCATGTATTAAGACTCAACTGCCTGAGTCATTATTTCTAAGATTAATGACAATAAGATTTTTCTTCTCTGCAAACAGCGCTGGCTCAGGTACGTATGGGGTCAGTGCAACTTACTTTCTGAGTCTGGAATGGAGCTGGTTAGTGAGGAACTGGTGGATGTGATGGCACTCAGGGTCGGGCTCATACCGTAACGGGGGAAACCTCCTGTCATTGCCGTGGTATGAGAAATCCAGGCTGCTGGGTCGATGGGTCTCACCGGTTCAGCTGCAAAGGACAGAAAGAGAGAGAACCCATTCAGTTAGATCTGACAAGGATGTAGAGAATCAGGAAGCCAGGCAATGTATAGAATCATAGAATATTACAGCACAGAAGGAGGCCATTCGGCCCATCGTGCTTGTGCTGGTTCTTTGGAAGAACTACCCAATCAGTCCCTCTCTGCCGTTTTTTCCCCATATGCATGCAAATTTATCCTTTTCAAGTACCTATCCAACTCCGTTTTGAAAGTTGTTATCATTTCCACTACTCTTTTAGGTAGTGTATTCCAGACCAAAACAACTATCTGTTGTAAAAACAATTTCTCCTCTGGTTCCTTTGCCAATTATCTTAAATCTAAGTGCCCTGTTTACTGATCCACTTGCCAATGGAAACAGCCTCCCTCTCTACTCTATCAAAACTTCATGTCCTGATCTTAAAGCAAGATTTCTACATTTTGAACCCAGGTCCTCTCGCTTGTGAGGCAAGCGCTCTAACCGCTGAGCTACAGCTGGAAAGACTCACCTCGAAATCTCATGCAGCGTAAACACCTGTATGCAATAATGCTAAAAGCTGCTGCTCTTAATAACAAGAGCAAAAAGGGATTTCCAAAGGGTGGGACTGCAGAAAAAGCATCACTTGTGCAGCAGGTTGCATATACATCAGGCACTGCATCATTTGCTGTGCAGTAACCATACACTACCTCGGTGTGGCCACCGGGGGGCAGCAACAAATCAAAATGCAAGTTTGCCGAAGCGACCTGAGACCTTCCGCCAATCCCACTCTGACCTGTTAAGGCCAAGGAACAATGTCAAATGCAAGGAATATTATTTTATTCACGGTGACACACACACACAAGGCAAGTAATAAAGGGCCTGAATCCGCCGGGCGCTTACTCCTGGGAATGGTGAAGTAACTCCTCGGTGTTGGATCCCAGCATTTGGCCACCGTTAAACTGATTGGTCTGTGGAGACAAAGTAAAATAGATCAGGCAATGTTAAAGAGTCCCAGAGAGCTGAGGCATTGCTTTGTAACCACCCTGCCCACACACAAATTACATCCATGTAACACGCAATGTACCCGTGTTAGTAATTTATTGATTTCCGACCATCTTCTCACACAGTATGTATGAAGAAGATGTACAGGTCTCAGACAGGATGAAGGATGATTGCCCCCTTACCCAGGTTTCGATACAATTTCCCGCAGAATCCTCACTGCATCATCATTGCTCATGTTTTCAAAATTGACATCATTAACCTGTAAAACACAGAAAGGCAATGTCAGGGCAGTGACTGTAGCAGCAACACATCGTGGAAGCTGGTCAACTCAATCTCACAATGGGGATTAGATCTCAATGAGAGGCTTGGGTCACTGACACTCTCTCTGACTGTCTCACTGGGGCTCTTGAGTGGCTACACTTGGCATATTGATGTCCAAGCCCCACGCTGAGCGTCATTCGGCAAAACATACTGTCACTTCACTGACGGGAACATTGGTGAGTAAACAGGAAACAGCATGATTTGTAGTCAGGAGAGACAATTTCTGTGTCTGTGCGCTCGTGTGTAGATAAGTGAGTCAATGTGTGTGTAATAATGCTTATCATATCAGCCAGTGTTAGCTGACATTGCGATGTGGCTGCAATGTTAGCTGATATTTGTGTGGAGTACTGTAGCTCAGTGGTTAGAGCACTCGCCTCGCAAGCGAGAAGACCTGGATTCAATTTCTGGCAGAGTTTAACTGGGGCAAGTTTTCTTACTCTACATGCCATTGTTTACCTAGCAGTAAACAGGAACCCGCTTTTCTGGGGGTAATAATTCCTTCAAAAAAAAATTGTTCACTCAATCCACGACTGTTTGTGGGACACTGCTGTGCGCAATTGACTGCTGCGTTTTGCCCACAAAATATACAGTCAATTCACTGCACAGTATATTCTGTGAAGCGCTTTGAAACATCTCGAAGATGTGATGCGGCGTCAAATGCAAGGATTATTATTATTAATATATTGGATGTGGCCACAGTGTTAATCGAGCACTCACCTGCAGCAGCATGTCACCCGGCTCAATTCTGCCATCTGCTGCCACTGCGCCACCCTTCATTATGGACCCAATGTAAATGCCACCATCACCGCGATCATTGCTCTGCCCCACAATACTGATCCCCAGGAAATTGTACTTCTCTGCAACAAGGAAATCCAGTTAGATTTGTAACCAGCTGCTTATTCTCAGGCTGGTCTCCAGAGAGAGGCTGATCTCTGGGTCCTGAAACTTGCGTGTCAGCCTGTCAGTTTGTATCATGAATAATTTGGGAAAATTCTTAAATTCTGTCATAATTCGGAAGGTGGTTCTCTTTATGGACATGAAAAATTGACTCCAAAATTAAAACTTAATTTAGAAATTTCTGCAGATGTTAAATTTTGCTCCTGAGACCAAGACATATATAAAAAACATTGCCTCTGAAAGCCCAGTAATTCGTTCCTCAAGCCCCCCTTTCCCCCAGCCCCCTATACCCCCAGCCCCCGTTTCCCCCAGCCCCCGTTCCCCCAGCCCTCATGCCAACCCCAGGCCTGGCACAGGATGACAAACACTCACCCATGTTAAGGGTAACGGTGATGATGTTGAGGGACATGGTGGAGTCAGTGATGCTGCTGAAAGATGAGGACTGTGGGGACAAAAGCTTTGTTACAGAAATAAAACACTTTTTATGACAGCCATTTGTTTCAGTCATGCAGCTCAACCTCACTGACAATGCACAGCCAAGTGTCAGCATGAACTCTCACTGATGATTAGCAAGTATCAGGTAACAACAACAAAAACTTGCACTTATATTGGCCCAGAGCTCTTGACAGTGGTGGAGCACGACACCAAGTCGGGGCGGGAGGTGACAGTAAACACGGTCAAAGAGGAATGTCTTCAGGCATGACCTTAAAATGGAGAGGGAAGGGGCAAGGCAGAGGGATAGAGGAAGAATGTTCCAGAGTTTCGAGGTGTAGTGGCTGAAAGAATGGCCACCAATGGGGGAATGGGGGGACATGTAGGAGACACTGGAATTGGCACAGTGCAAGTAGACACTGAACAAAAACTGAAAAGTTTTTAAAATGAGTTTTCGCAACTCCCCTCCTCCGTAAACCCTCCTCCTTACCCTGTCCATCTGCTGCATCTTGTGCTTCCGCCTCCTCCGCTTGTGTCTCCTCATGAGTCGGGATGAGACACTCTGCTCTGTTGAGTTGCTTAACCTGGGGACCGGTACAGAATGGATGTGAATTCATGTGTAGCCTGATCTCCATCTCACAACTGTTCCACCATTTGAAATAAGCAACACATGGCAGGTGAAAGGAGGTTTATCCCGAGGTTAGAGAGCAAAGGTGAACACAACACAGCTATAAATACACAGGATTAGCCAGCAAGCACGAGATACTTGGAAGTGATTGCAAGTAATCTCACACAGAGATTCAGGTGCAGTCATAAGCTTCCAGAGCAAGGCTGGAGAAGCTTAACCTTGATCGGAATGCTGAGATTAACAGGGCAACAATTGCCCTCATTAATGTGGTTTACAGTCTGACAGTCAGAAGGACCCCCTCCTTCATGGTCTTTGCCGTTAGCTAATGGGGTCCATCACTGAACAGTGACAATACTATACTCACCGCAAGAAATTCTGACAGCAGTTGGAGTTTACAGATTTCTCAAGTAATAATGAATGAGTTATTTATTACTGGGCACTGATAGACAGATTAGCATGACTTGTGTGGCACTCATCTGTGTACTACATAATCCGGGAGAATCCGAGAGCTCCGTGCACCTCATTGCAGGCAAGCGTGTATAGTAGTTTTCTGTGTGCAAACTGGCTACCGTGTTTCCTACAAATACACAGTCATTACACTTGATAGTAATTACTTGTGAAGCACTTTGAAATGTTTCAACCTTTCAGTGCAGTTTTAAACACAAAGATTGTTGCCACTACCTCAGCTCAGTCAAGTACAGGCAAGGCACAGGAGACTACTGTAGTTATAACCACAGCCCCATAGTGGTAGCCAAAAGCATCAGTAAGGACTTTTGATGTCTCAGTCAGGATAACCCCAGACAGTCTGTCCGCAAACAGGAGTTCACAGGGAGTAAGGCTGCGGCCTATCACACTGTTCCCCATTGCTATAGCAGCCCACATACTCATTCCTACCTGCTGGTGTTATCATCATCGTCAGAGTCAATGAAGCTGCTAGAGTCCAGTTCGCTGCTCATCACCGTGGAGGCGCTCTCGTAGCCCCCTGGATCTCGCTGCCGCTCTGCCTTGGTGTGGCCATTGATGCGTGGGACTGTTGGAGAGATGCCACATCATTCTCTGAAAACCTACATAACCAGTTATCATCAGTGTTCAACCCAGTGTTCAACTACCCAGACCCTGAACTAACAATGCAAACATTCAAGTGGAGGAAGCAAGAGACCAGGAGCTGATCCTGACACAGAGTTAACAAGAAAAGGATGTGCCTGTCTGCTCCAGTTTAAAGTGACTAATCGAGTGCATAGCCCATTGTGCAATTGGCTCCCGCTTTTCGCTCACAAAATACAGTCGCTCCACGTCACAATATATCCTATAAAGCGTCCTGAAGACGTGATAAGGCACTACATCAAATCTAGGGATTATGATTATTATTATTGTTGTTTCGCCCACAAAATACAGTCAATTCACTTAACTGTATATTATGTGAAGCAATTTGAGACTTATCAGTGACATGATAAGGTGCTATCTAATGCAAGGATTATTATTATTGTTCTGGTCAAGACTCTGCTTACCCAGGTATATTCTCTGCTGAGTGCAATCAACACTGCTGGAAGCCTACAGAAATGCCTCGCACTAAATGTACGGACCTTTGATGATGTGAATTACAGCTGTTTAAACCCGACTATCGCAATATACACCAATTTATCAGTGCTCCTTTTAAGAACTGTGAAAAATCAGCTTTCAAATTCTGATTGATTTAAAGAATTTTCTAAAGTTCTGTGCGCTTTTAAACTTTGAAGTGATCGGCCTGAATGCTGGGACCAGGTAAAATATTAGGCCTCTGGCTTGGTGCCCCCATCACACCAGTCCTTTGTAGGCCACTAGCTCCCAATTACTGAACGGATTGATTTCAAGATCCTCTCACTTGATTTCAAATCCCTTCATGCCCTCGCACCTCCCTATCCGACCCACTCCACCACCCGCTATCTCCACTTGGCCAGCTCCGACCTCCTGTTTGTCCTTCGTCCCCTCCACCATCGATGGCCGTGCCTTCAGCCACTGCGCCCCGAAACTCTGAAACTCTTTCCCTCAATCCCTCCACCTTGCCCCTCTACATAAAATCCCACCTAAAGACCTTACTTTTTGATCGTGCTTATGGTCACCTCCCCCCTCCTTGTCCCGCTGACTCGTTGTCAGACCCCTCCACTGTCAAGCACTCAACGACGCTACCCCAGGTAAAGGGGGCTCTATAAATGCAATCTGTTGTTGTTGTGGTGTCCACCGCTCCTATTCTTACATGCTCTGAGGTATTCTTTCACATCAAAGTATACAAATGAGCTGTCATTTTTAAGCTGTCCAACTCCAACATATAATATCAACAAACCCAAATCACACTATCGCCAGATAAAATACTGATATTCTCAGGAGGAAACTGCTCTTTTCTCATTCATTTCCTCATGGGAATGTTTCTTACCACTGGCTACTCTTTATAGCTCTCTCACTAACGTAATTAAATACTGAGACCTACCCTGTGAACAGTGCTATATAAGTTGTTGTTGTAACCCTTTCAATGCTTTCTGAGGTACAGTAATAGAACAGTATTGCATAATTGCTTAGGGACGTCCAGCATCTTGGGACATCCTCCCGATGTGAAAGACGGTATACAAAGGTAATTCGTTGTTGCTTCATTTTAAGAAATTCAGAAAATTTGCTTCTGATTTAAGAATTTTCTACAATTTAAGCATGATCTTAAATCTGAAGACAAAACAGTCTGGCAAATTAAAAGTCTAGAGCATTCAGAATTCGGCAAATTGTTGAGCTCAGTCTTAATTTTGTTATTCTGCAATTATTAAGAGAAACACAGAAAATTCAAAATGAAGGCTGTCTTTAAGAATTTGCCATATTCTGAATACTCTAAAATGCTACATGAATAGAGTAAAACTAGACCCAGGTAAAATGTCTCCCTATATGTTCATTGCAGAACTCTATCAAGAGCAACTTTTTGCTGTAAACAATTCACTTACTCATACGTTTAAAACAGTGGTTTAACAAGGGCCGGGGGCCCTGCTGCAAGAATCTAAAATTACCCTCACCCTCTCCATCTTTTCATGTTCTCCCTCTCTACAGTGAAGTGCATGCGTGAAGCGGCTATATTGAAATGTAGAGAGAGAGAACACGAGTGGTTCTGCTTCCAATGAGTTGAGCCTCATAACCTTTTGGACCCTGGCCCGACTGCACCATCATAGTTACACCACTGGCTAAAATGACTCGCAGAGCCAAGGAACATAGGAACAGGAGGGTTTGGCCATTCAGCCCCTCAAGCCTGTTCCTGCATGCGACAGTTCAATGGTTTACACTGGCCAGCACACCGTGTGTAAGCACGGCACAGAGCTACAGAGCAGAGGCTAAGGCAATGTGCTGTCAGACAAGCAAACGCAGTCACTACTGTACCTACATTGATAGACCCGGGGTTGAGCTTCTGGAAAGCAGCGCACCGGCTGCGGGAACCAGCGGCAAGACTTGAGCCGTCCAGCGTGAGCCACACGGTGCTGTGCGAGCTGCTGTCTCTGCTGATTCCTTCCAAAACACTGCCATAGTCCTGGTGCCACCATCGCCAACCTTACAGCCCTGTGCAGGCTGCAATCCTAACTGGAGAGCTTGGCCAATAGATCCAGATCCTGCTCCCAATCTATATAATCCCTGGGAGGAAAGGCACGCTTAATCGCTTGAATAATGTTTCCCTGGGGCACTGATGTAGGAATTGCCCTCCATGGTTACTTATGCACACAGTTTACAAGCTGCTTCTCCTCTCCGGACTCCAGCAGGCATCGCGGCTGTGGTGTAAGATGTGAACAGAATCCTGAGCAAGGACAGACCATCTGTAGTAGATGAGAGCGTCATTCACGTGTTCGACACGCCTCCAACACTGCCACTTCTACTGATCGTGTGTCTCTCTGCAGGATCAGGAATGCGAGCAGAAGACTACATTCTGTTTTCCTCCTACACCCTGAACAGCATCAATTTCAGAGCTGCAGAGTATCTGGTCTGAACACAGTCAAGAATTAAACCACAAAGTCAAATCACAGCAGAGCTACACTCGAAAACCCTTCTATTCTTGACTGGAGCACTGCCATCCACCCTGAACATCTCCCTTCCCCACAGCATTGATATCCCAACACTTCTCTCCCCCCCACACTTCCAACACACACATAGTAGGCCTACAAAATAGTCACCACACTAATTCCTGTGAAGCACATTGAGACATCCTCCCATCATAGAAGATGCGATATCAAATGCAAGGATTATTATTATTACGATTGACCATCCCAGCTCCCCTCATTCCCATCTACACACAGATTAAAACTTCCAAAACGTGACCTGAATGTGCTATAACAACAACAAAATTACATTTATAGAGCGCCTTTCACGTCGAGAGGACTTCCCAAGGTGCTGGACAGTCAAGGGTCAGGACCTGAGCATTGGGGAGGGGTGGGGTAGGGATGAGGGAAGGCAGAGAGGTGGGAGGGCAACTGAAGGCATGTTCAAAGAGGAGGGACTTGAGAACAGCCTTGAAGGAGGCAAGGGAGGAAGCGAGGTGAAGGGACTTTGTGATGGAGTTCCAGAGTGTGGGGGCAGATAGGTTGAAAGCCCGGCCACAGAAGGCAGGGCTGATCGGGCGGAAGACATGGAGCAGGATGGAGCCTGCTGAAAGGAGGGAGCGGGCAGTTGGTAGGGAGTGGGCAGGTTGGTAAGGAGTCAGCAGGTCAGAGAGGTGGGGAGGGGGGGGTGGGTGATGGATGGCCTTGAAAGTGAGGATGAGGTTCTTGAATTTGATTTGATGGGGTCACGGAGCCTGGTGCACAAGAGCATACGAGCTGCAGAGTTTTGGATGATCTGCAGCTTGCGAAGGGAAGAGTTGGGAAGGCTGATGAGGAGGGATTTTCCATAATCGAGCCTTGATGTGACGAATGTATGGGTGAGGGTCTCGGCAGCCTGAGGCGTGAGCCAGTGGCGGAGTCTGGCAATGTTGCAGAGCTAGTGGTAGGTAGTGCCGGTCATGGCACAGATGTGGGGGAGAAAGGACAGTTCAGAGACAAACAAGACACCCAGGTTCCTGACTGGCTTAGTGAGGTTGAGTGTGCAGCTGTGGAGGCTGATGGTACCAGCGCCCAAGGTGCGGAGGTGCTGGCGCGAGTCCATCAGGAGGGCCTCAGTCTTGCTGACGTTCAGTTGGAGAAAGTTGTCCCTCGTCCAGGACTTGATATCGATCAGGACTCCAGTAGTCCTGGAGTTGAGCGTGGAGCAGAGTTGGGTGTCATCCGCATACATATGGAAATTTACCCCATGTCTGCGGATGATGTCACCAAAGGAGAGCATGTAGAGGGTGAAGAGGAGGGGACCGAGGACAGAGCCCTGAGGAACACTGCACGAGATAGTCCGGGGGCTGGAGGAGAAGACGTTTGCAGAGACGAAGTGAAGGCGGTGTGAAAGGTAGGACCTGAACTAGTCAAGGACAGAACTTGGTTGAAGTGGGAGGAGAGACGGTTGAAGTGGGAGGAGAGACGGTGGAGGAACACTGAGTGGTCCAAGTATCAAAGGCAGAGAGGTCGAGGAGGACGAGGGAGCCCTGGTCACACGTAGTCAGGATGTCATTTGTGACCTTGACCAGAGCAGTTTCCGTGCTGTGGGCAGCATGGAAACCTGATTGGAGGGGCTCATGGAGGGAGTGGGAGGAGAGGAAATAGCAAACCTGGGAGGCGACTGCTCTCTCAAGGACCTTAGACAGAAAAGGGAGGTGGGACCGTAGCTGGATCGCTGTGATGGGTCAAGGGAAGGTTTCTTCAAGGTGGGGGTGACAGTGGTTGTTTTGAGGAGGTTAGGAACAGTGCCAGATGACAGGGAGAGGTTGATGATGTTGGCGAGTAGTGAGGCAAGGAGGTGGAGCTGGGATTTAAGGAGAAGGGTGGGGATGGGGTCCAGAGAGCAGATGGTGAGCTTCATGGAAGATATGGTGGTGATGACAGAGGAGGGGATGATAGATTCAAAAGGTGTAGAAGGAGGGATGGAGAGATGGGTAGTGGTTGGAGTGTGGGG